TGTGTGTGTGTGTGTGTGTGTGTGTGTCTGTCTGTCTGTCTGTCTGTCGTCTGTCTGTGCCTATGTCTGTGTGTGTCTGTGCATTTGGAGACCAGAGGTCATCCTGGATGTTGTTCTTCAGGAGCCATCCACCTTGTTTTTGAAGATTGGGTCTCTGGTTGACCTGGAGCTCAGTGATTCAGCTAGGCTGGCTAGAATCCATAGCCCTAGGGATTTACCTGTCTCTGCCTCCCTAGTGCTGGGATTATAAGCACAAGACAACATGCCTGGCTTTTTTATAAGGGTGCTGGGGATCACACTCAAGGCCTCACACTGGCACAGCAAGCACGTTACCAACTGGGCGTCTTCCCAGCCCCAAGGGCTGGCTCTCCTGCCTTCACTTCTTGTTCTTGAAGTCACATCTCTTCCCACTGATTGAGCTCAGCTCTCACCCCTGACATTGAACTCCTTTGAATTCCATCTTCCATCTTTCCCAGGGCCCTAGGCAAGAAGTCATGACGAGCAAGGATCACTAGAGCAGTCAGGAATGGGGCTGGAAGGGAAAGTGACTTCTGGGTCTTTGGCCGCACTGTCTGATGAGTGAGTGAAGTAGCAGGGCTCATCTTGAACCTAGCCATGATCTGTGAAGGAGCCGGAAGGCTGACAGTGAAAGTGCATGAACTCAGGGGAAAGGCACATTTAATTGAGCAAACTCACAGGGAGTTTAGCTTGCTTAAAGCTCAGGATGCCAAGTGCTCTAGCTCAGCACTCTAAAAGCGAACTGATAACAGCTTCTGGCACAAGTGTCATTTTGGAGATATGTTTGGATTCCTTTTCTTAGGGAGGACGAGGAGAAACTGGACCTCAAGGAGACAGAGGGATTGCAGGATGTCCAGGGACGCAGGGTCAAAAGGTAAGCTTTCTGCTGGCTTGGTCTTTTCACTTCCCTGTAACATCTCCCTCCTCTTCGATTCCTTCACTCCTTTTTTCTCTTTCCCATGATCCCTTCCTCTTTTCCCACCTCCAGTTACATTTGTTAGTTTCTTTGAAGATTAGTCCTGCTTCTTAATAACTGCGGAGTCTTGAGCATCGATCAAACTCTCTTTCATGGATGTATAGCCAGAAGCAACTGAAGAGATAATGCAAGATGACTTTCTCAGGAGAGGCAGACGCTTCCTGCCGCAGTCCATGAATCCTCACCTGCTTTTGAGATATCAGTGACAGCTTTTAATCTTTTGCAGGGAGCCAAAGGATTTTCTGGATCTAAGGTATTGTACTTTTTTCTCAGTTAAGTTTGATTTCCTAATTGGGATTCATTTCCTAATACGCACCTGTCAAGACTTCCTGATTGCTTGGTTATCTGTCTTTGTCTTTACCTGACGATTGCCTATTGTTGCCTAGGGAAAAGATGGAGAGAGTGGATTTGATGGACTGGATGGAGAAGAAGTAAGTCATCGCTTTTCTTTTGTGCTATCACAAAGCCGTTATGGGGTTGATATTTTTTAAGGATATTTTGTTTTCTTTATCTTCTTTTAGGGATTTCATGGATTTCCTGGGGAAAAGGGAGAGAAGGGTGATCCTGGATTTCAGGTAACTCTTTTTGATAACCAAAAAAGAGAACCTGGTGACAGATACATTCCTATTTGCTATGTGTTGGTGGTTATTAGGGATAAAATTGATATCTGACTTCATCAACATATTAGTTACTTTATTTTGGGGGGGCTGTGGTCAAATAGCTGACAAAAAGCAACTTAAGGGAAGAGGGTTTATTTTGGCTCACAGTTCAGAGGAGTGCAGTCCATCATGGTGGGGAAGGCAGAATGCTGGGAACAGCTTGGTCCATGGCACTGACCAGGAAACAGGGAAAGGGGAATGCCGGTTATATCCATTGCTTTATCTTTCTAAGATAAAATACCATGACCCAAACAACATTAAGATGAAAGCCTTTATTTAACTTACAGTTCCAGAAGGGCAAGAATTCATGGTGTCAGGGAGGCAGCAGGCAGCCAGAGCAGGAAGCTGAGAGTGAACAGAAAGTGGGGCGAGGCTATAAACTCTCAAAGCCCATCCCCAGTGATGTACTTCCTCCAGCAAGGCTTCACGCCTTAAAGGTTCCATAATCTCCCGAAACAGCACCACCAACCAGAGACCAAGTGTCAAACACATGAACCTATGGGAGACATTTCTCATTCAACTCCCCACACCAATGCTCAGCTCTTTTTCTTTCTTTTTCCCTTTTATTCAGTCAGGGACCCAATCTTTTGGGATTGTGCCACCTGCAGTCAGGATGTGTCTTCTCTCCTCAAACCTTTGGGAGGGGGACAACTATAGCAGGAACACCCCAAGGTGTGTCTCCTTAGTGTCCTAAGTATTTCTTAAACCCAACGAATTTGATAAAATTAACCATCCCAATCACATAATGAAAGTCTCTTGACAACAATTAGATGCTGCTTCCTTTTTGGGACAAGTCGACTACTGTGCAGGACCAGGCTGGCCTTGAACTCACAGAGATCTGCCTGCCTCTGCCTCCCAACTGCTGGGATTCAAGGCGTGTGCCACCACAACCAGCAGGAACACTTATTTTAAATGTAATCCAACACCCAGTTCTACTTTTATATTCTGACACGTTTATTTTTCAAGTATTTTTGTATCTGTAATACACCAGGCACTGCATTATTTGTCAAAGGACCAGAAAAGGGAATGGCCCACACAGTTCTTGTCCTTAAAGATCTCACATTGCACAGGTGTGAGGGACCCCATTGTAGGCATCTCCCTGGGAGTCTACAGTAAAGTGCCTAACTCAGCTTGGTGGTGGGGTGTGGTGGATTGAATGAAGAATGCCACCCATAAGCTCCAAGTATTTGAACACTTTTTTCCCAATTGGTGGCACTATTTTGGGAGGTTTAGGAGGTGTGGCCTTGCTGGAGGAAACATGTCACTGGGGGTGGGTTTTGAGAGGTCATAGCCTCATCCCACTTCCAGTATTGCTTCCTCTGCTTCCTGCATGCACCTGAAGATGTGAGGGCTCTTCTCTGGCTGCCTCTGGCCAACTAATTTATGGGGTATCCAGGAAATCCTTTTTTGAAGCCAGTATGAGCAGCAGTAGCAAAGGCACAGATGTGGAGGAAGAATATTCAAGATAGAGGGAACTGTGTAAGCAAACACATGGGGCTAGGGGACACTGGGTGTTGTTCTGTCTGGAAGGGTCAGAATTTGGGTGGAGGGAAATAGTGTCAAGTGGTAACAAGAAAAGACCAGAAGAGCTCCAGTGCACCATGGAGAGGAATTTGCTATCCCTTAGGCCATGGGGCGTCTGTAGAAGGATTTTAAGCAGCAGGGTTGTAATCAAATTTGTATTTTAGAAATAATATTTGGCAGTGGTCTGAAGGGTGTGTTGGAGCTGCCATGGATGTAAGGGTTGGATCGGTGGCAATGGAAGTGAGGGATGAAGCCTTCAAATGGAGTAGTGGTGATAAGAGCAGACACAGAACTATTAAGGATGTGCAAGGCCCTGCCTGGGATGGGACAAGTGGATATTGGGTGCAAGAGGTTATACTCTTAGGTTTTGTAGAGTGAGGGTCTCCCTGAATGTGGCACTCTGGGAGCCTCTCTTGTCCCAGTCTAGTCCTGGCTCTAGGGTATCAGGTCTTCTAATCTTGAGGAGCAGGAAATGGGGAATCAGTCAAAATGTCTATAGAGACCATACTTGGGCAAATTTCATTGGGAACAGTTGAATTTGAGGAGGAAATAGAATGCCATTGTGAGGATTCCTGATGGGGAATTTAAATATGTTTATGTGTATGAGTGTTTTGCCTGCATATAAGTGCAGTCATGCATGCAATACCCTCAGAGGCCAGAAGAGGGCATCAGATCCCCAGGAAATGGAATTACAGATGGTTGTTAATTGCCATGTGGGTGCTGGGACCAGAACCTGGGTCCTCTGTAAGAGCAGCCAGTGCTCTTGACTCTATCTCTCTATTCTTGGGAAATTTAATTATAGACATCAGAAGTTGCTAAACTGGTTAGGGTGCCCAATTATAATATCTACTCTACATGTGATTATTTAAATTTAACTTAATTAAAACAAGTAAGTTCACCCTTTAATTGCACTAGCCACATTTCAAGTGCTTGGTAGCTGCAAGTGACTAATGGCTGCCTGCCCTCCTGGGCAGCATGATGGTGGAGTTTCCTTCCCTGCTGAAAGTCCCACTGGACAGGCCCATGCTAGATCATAGAAGATGTTCAGTTTCTTACCCTCACAACAGACAGCCTGACCATGGTTTAAAATTGAACTTGAGAAGTCTGAGGGAACCTGGATGAGGTAGGAAAACATGAAGCCTTTTACCTGATTGATCACCCTCCACCCATGAGCACCACTTGACATTGAACACCATTGTGAAATCCACATAGCAGCTAACATATTGTTTTATTATTTAGTTATTATTTTATTTTTTTCAGGGCAGCCCAGGTTCCAGAGGCATCCCTGGGGAGGACGGAGAGAAGGGCTTCCCAGGAGAACCTGTAAGTTACCAGAGCCACTTAGCTCAGAATGTTATACTTACTCCAGAGTTCTTAGTGATTCCCCTTAAGTACAGGCCTCTGAAGTATAGTCAAATTCGGACCTTGAGAGCAGGGCTGGTAGGTGTGGCCCAAGCCTTTGTATTTGGGAAAAATCCATTTGAATCTAACCTGGAGTGATTTATTTTAAAGGCTCAGAGCCAGTATTTAAAGTTCTATCTTATGAATCCTTACAGTACATTGAGATTTTCAAGTTGCATGATGAAAACTTCCTTGGTTTTATTTCTTGGATTTATAATCTTGCCCTCTTGCAGATTTTATGTATTTATATATTTGTTTGTTTGCTTGTTTAGCAGCATTGGGAACTGAACCCAGGGTCTTGTATATGCTAGATGGGCACTCTAGCACTGAGCTGCATCCCTCGAGAGCTGTCTGTTTCAGACTCAGTGACAGGAGGCTTTCATTAGGCTTCTGACAGAATAACCTAAGACTATTTGGGTCAGAGCCCCATGAAGCTGCCCTTCAGGGAGAGCAACTGCATGGCTGCGCTCTGAAATACTGTTCTTATCACCAGGTCTCCTTCAAACTGGGGAAATGTTACTTTTAGTACTTCAAAGATTCTAAAAGTTTTAAGTTGGAGATTTTTATGACACTTTTCATCCCTTAACCTGAATGAGCCTAGCACTTAAATCTCAAACCACTATGGCTTTTTTTGTTTTTATTTTTGTTTTTGTTTGTTTGTTTTTTTCTGGTCTACAGAGTGAATTCAAGGTCATCCTGGGCAACTTAGTGAGACCCTATCTCAAAAGTAAAAAGTTGAAAGACTTGTCTAGCATGTTCAAGACTATAGGCTTCATCCAGAGGGGGGGGGGAGAGAGAGAGAGAGAGAGAGGGGAGCGGGGGATGGGGGCGCACAGAGGTAAAACTATAAATTAGAACACTAAAGAAAGAAGATCTCTGTGAGATCATATAAAAAAAAAAAAGAACAGAGGGGGGGGGGAGAGAGAGAGAGAGAGAGAGGAGAGAGCTGGGCATGGTGGCACACAGCTGTAATCCTAGCACTTAGAACACTAAAGTAAGATGATCTCTGTGAGTTCATCTTAAAACAAATCAACCAATTTACTCTGGTATTTCCAGATTCTGAAACAGTTTTAAAATCTTCTTTTAGGGTAATCCAGGACGAGACAGTGTCACCAAAGGCCGAAAGGGCGCGAAAGGCAAACAAGGAAGACAAGTAATTGGATCTGTTTTTTGTAGATAAGTTGGTGAATTCCATTGTTGAGCTGAGTAAATGTAGCAGAGTCTACAGACTTTCTGTGATTGAATGAACACCCCCCAAACTCATCTACATTTAAAAGAAAAGGCTTGTCTGATATAAGTTATGCTTTTCTGAGGAAAGCTCGTTTATTTGAAGCATGTTCCCGCCCTTGTTCTTGCAGTGTGGCTGTCTAGCCACCTGTGTTAATATGCAGACTGATTCTAGCATGTCTGTTTACTCTGCTGTCTTGATAGTATTTGATATTTTGCACTGGTGGCTTAATAATTTACTCAGAATCTATTGTCTTATGATCTTGGGGAACTATTGTGTTTCTAGGGTAGAACTGGGCAAAAGGGGAGACAAGGCAGTCCTGGCTCCAGAGGAAGGATGGTAAGTACTTCTCCAAACATTCCTGTTCCTCCTCATTACTTGTGGCAGACCCTGAGGCATGTAGGCTATTTGTTGCTACTGAGCCAGCTGACCCACATGCAGGGGTTCCAAATCTTGGCACTACTGACGTTTTGAGTCAGGAAATTCTTTGCAGCACTCCAGATCTCTGCTCATGGGGAGTCAGGAGTACCATCCTGCCCCCACTGCCCCCAAAATGTCTTCAGATACTGCCAGAGGTCTGCAGCGGGCTTTGTTGGGGTGGGAATGGGAGACAAAATCACCCTTGAGAACTGCGGTGTTCCAGTCTGCCTTTGCCTTCCCACCTTGCAGATGTTTGGCAATGTCTTTGAAGAGAGCCAGTGACTTCACATGTACTGTGCTCTCCTCACAGCATCTGGGGGCTGTGTCAGAGTGTTATGAACTGGGTGGGGATACTCTTCTCTTTACACACTGACAAGGAGGAAGAGGAACACAAATAATTCCACCAGAATGGACCCCAAACACTGGCAATTAGGGCCAACTCTTTGGCAACCTTGAGGCTCTGGGCTAGCTTATAGCATTGTGTATATCAACCCTACTGTTCTAGTTAGCTTTCTATTGCTGTGATAAATCACTCTGACCACAACCAGCTTGGAGAGGAAAAGGTTTTCCTTTGGCTTGCACATCTTGATCACAGCTTACCAATGGGGGAAGCCACGGTGGGAACTCAAGGCAGGAACCTGGAGGCAGGAACCAAAGCCGAGACTGTGGAGGAACACTGCTTACTGGCTTGCTCTTTTGGCCTCTGCTCAGCCTACTTTCTTATACAACTCAGGACCACCTCCCCAGGGGTGACACCAACCACAGTGAGCTGGGCCTCCCACATCACTCAGCAATCAAGAAAATGTTTTAAAGACATGCCCACAGGCCAGGCCCATAGGGAAATTCCCCACTCGAGGTTCCCTCTTCCCAGGTGACAACTGAAGCTATTTATTCATTATACCCTCCTTAGCAAAACAGGACATTGTATTTCCTTCTACTTTTAAGGACCAACCTTCACTTTTATGGACTACTGAAGTGAGAAATTTTATTTATAATTTATTTATTATTATTATTTTTTTTGGTTTTTGAGACAAAGTCTTACTATGTAGCCCTGGCTAGCCTAGAACTCAGTATGTGAACCAGGCTGGCCTCAAACTGACAAGAGATCTGCTTGCCTCTGTCTCCTGAGTGCTGGGATTATAGACATATGCCACCACACTTGGCTTAGAGATGACATTTATGTTAAAAGCTCGTGATCAGTATGGACATGATGAAAAAGAATGATGTACAAAATCCTGGGTTTGGCCCCAATTTGTTCAGAGGGAATAAAAATTCTCGGCTTTCTTTTCTATTATGAGTTTTGGATTCTCCTCATCGCTTGAAGTGTGTGGCCTGCTGCCCTTCTCTCTGGGAGCAGAGATTATATCCTAGTCCATCTTGCCTTTCTTTATCTGACTGGGAAAGATCCGAGGCTGGAGAGCCTGGGCTTCCCATGCTTCTGCTAATATTCCTTGGGCCTTTGCCTTCCAAACTCAAGAGGATTAACATGTAATTGGAGGAAGCAGCTGACCAGTGAGAGATGAGCTAAACATTATAAATTTTAAACATAAATATGTCTTGTTGGCTTAGGAGAAAAACCCTTTTAGTTTGAAATAGGTTTATAACTGACACATAAATCATATACTTTTACGAAAGAGATTCTGGGGGACAGGGTAGGGATTAAGGCTTCGACACTAGTTAATGAATTAAGTCACTGTAAGGACAGAAGATGCTCAGCCCCTCCTCATTGCTTACCCCGTCCCTGCTCTGTAACTTCTTTTCTTTGGCATTAAATAAGGCAGCATTTTTAATATTCAGATTCAAGCAGCACTGGGCTTTGCTATTCTCTCTCCCACCTTTTCAGTGTAGGTTAGAATTCTGTTATGAGATTCAGAGCGTCATAAGTGGGTAACAAATTGTAAATAACACAGCTCAACCCAAGACATTGCCTCCCACATGACAGAACTTCAACTTGTGTAAATTCATTATTGCACCAGCTGTTGCCAAAAACAATGGATCACCATACTGACAACCACACATGAGACCCTTAGACTTTTGCCGACCACACACAGAGTCCTTAAAAATAACATTGACACCTCTAATGTATCTATTTTGTACCAAGTCCTGACCAAATCACTTTCAAATACTCATTTGCTTAAGTCTGAGTTTCCTGTGATAGGCCTAACTAGTAGTGTTTGCATCACATAATGGAACAGACTCTACAGCCATCTGCTCCTCACAGAACCCCATAGAGACAAACTCCATTGGCTCATGTGATGTATCGTGTCTGGAAATTTCACTTTGCCTCAAGGTTCCAATCCAGAAGACCAAGATGGTCATGACAGTGCCCACTCCTCCTCCCATGGGAACCTCTGCTCAGCAGACAGTGCTTTGTGGGTTTGTGGGGAGGAAAAACAGTTGACAGTTTCTTCAGGATGATTCCACTTTCCAAAGAGCCCACAGGCTAATCATCAGAGGCTGTCAGTCTCGGGTTGGGGCTGCAATGACTTTTATACTAGGTTATGATCAATCCCCCAACTGTCAGTACGTAATTCAGACACCTACTCTGAAAGCCTACCCATGTAAAGTGCCTCGGGGAGACCGCTTGTGAGCTGCTTATTACTTATGTGGGTTATCTGGGAGTATGAGGGACCGGTTTGCCTCAAGGGAAGCTTTGTGAAGACATGCTGACACTTTGCCTTTTATGTTACAGGGACTAGAAGGCCACAGGGGGCCCCAGGGTCCCTTGGTAAGTATTCTTCCTGTCCTCTGTGGTAGGGGGCTGAGATTTTTTTTCTATGTAGATATTGTTGGGTAAATGAACACTTGACAGGATGGGGTAGGATGTGCCGAGCATTGGCCATGAACGTCTCTGAGTACTGGAAACATAAGCAACTGTCAGCTCAGCTTCCAAAAGAGAGTGGGCCTGACTAAGGCAAAGCCCCCCTCACAGATGCCCTGTTAACAAGCAGATTGTGCACAAGTCAAAATGTCATGCATTTGATTGATTTTCATATTTACTGGGAACCATCATACAAGAGAATGAAATTCTTTCTTCCTACTTTTCATGTATATTTGTAAGGGGTGTGCATGTGTGTATGCATGTTTTTGCATGCATGTGGGTACTGTGTGTGCACCTGCAAGTGGAGGCCTGAGGTTGATGTCAGAAATCATTATCGATTGCTCTTTTGCCTTACTCATTGAGGCAGACTCTCTCAGTCAAATCTAGAACTTGCCGGAATGGCTGCTCTTGCCAGCCAGTTGCTCTGGGGATCCTATGCTTGCTTTCTGAGGCAACTATCACAGGCAGGCCACCATATCCACCTGACATTTATGAGGGCTTCTGGGGGTCTGAACTCTGGTCCTTACCCTTCCACAGCAAGTGTTTTAACCACTGAACCATCCCCCCAGCCTCCTAATTCTTTACTATTATTAGCACTTATTGCAATCATTAGCTATGCATTCCAGATATTCCTTTCACATTAAAAAAATTATTTTATGTGTATGAGTGTTTTGCCTGCATGTATGTATGCATGTCACATATGTTCAGTTCCTCTGGAGACCAGAAGAGGGCCTCAGGTCCCTGGAACTGGAGTTATGCATCATTGCCAGCTGCCATGAGGATGCTGAGAATCGAACCTGGGTCCTCTGCAAGAGCAGCCAGTGCTCTTCACTGCTGAACCATCTCTCCAGCCCCTCCTTCCATACTTTTTAAAATTTAGTTTTTAATTTGTATATAAAGTATTCTGTATCAGTATGACATTTTCAAACAAAATTTATTTTAGTTTTGCTTCCAGCTCCCATCTTTATGATAATAAGAAACACACTTGTGTTCATTCCTGACAGAAAAATAAGATCCTAGGCAATGTAGGGAGTGAGTCATGAGTGGGACAAACCAGTGCCTGGGTTCTGTCTAAATACTGTGAAGAAACAATCTATGTGGAAACGCCTTCAGAGAATATCTTAACACTGGAAACTCTTGTTCATTAGGGGGAAACAGGAAACCCAGGACCTCAAGGTGTACAGGGCCCTGGAGGATTGCATGGCCCACAGGTATGTTTAATAAACATGGGTAATGATGTGGCGCTTCCCTTATGGGAAGAAGGCACACAGCTCTGTCTGAAAATACACACTGATGAAATATCAATTTGCAGCCCACATCTCCACATGTCTCATCATGGGGGATGATGACTCGGTGGTTTTTTAAAATAATTTTGTTCCATTCAACATGCTCTAACATTTGAAGTTATTAATGTGTACTCTTGTGCTTACCTGGTGTTGTGTCTGGATGCTAGTAAGAATGAACAATGAATACCTTCATATATGAGTAATTAATATAAGCACTGGTACCTTGTTAATTTGTTTGTATCTTCCTTTTGCTATGGATTTTATTTTCCCCTTTCGCTCTATTTCTTTATTTCTCCCTGTAGAAGAAGGACAAGACTCTTGGACCTGGCAGGGAATTCCTTAATATGACTTGTACCACTGTGTCTGGTCCTGTCTCTAGTTACTCTCCTAAAAGACTTCATCTCAAAGTGTTAAGGCTACTTGAAGGGTTGGACCATGGCTTTTCCTCTGTAGGGTTGTTTCAAAAGCCTCCGCCAAGAAAGGGAGCTTCCTTGACATCACTTTCTATTTCTTGTGTTACCACGAAAAGGGGTCAAGTGGAAATCGTGGCGTGAAAGGAGAAAAAGGAAGTGAGGGGCACAAGGGACCCCAGGTGAGTGCCTTGGAGACATTAGGGCCAATGGCTCCGAACCTCTATTTTCCTTTTGCTACAAAATGCCTTAGTGTGATTTATTTAGGCTATCTAATGATGGATTATTTCATTTTTGGGTTATTATGGATCAACTTTTTAGCCTAACTCAGAGTCCTTTTACCTAGCTAGTACACCCCTCTTTCTCCTTTTCTGGTCATTTGTTCAGAAAGTACAGATCCACTTCCTCAGCCTCAAGGTAGCATTTGAAAGACTAAAAATACTGCCAAATGATCAAAATTACTGCCCCAAATTATTTGACTACTTTCACTTAAAAAAATTGACTATGGCATATATCTGCCATTGACCATAGACATTTTTTCTTTTCCTTCCTTCCTTCCTTCCTTCCTTCCTTCCTTCCTTCCTTCCATTTTTGAGACAGGGTCTCCCTGTAACCTGGAACTTGCTATGTAAACCAGACTGGCCTTGATCTGCCTGCTTCTGCCTCCTGAGTTTTGAGATTAAAGGCATGTACCATAACACCTGGCTCTTTTTTTAAACCATAGACATTTGACTATACAAAGATCCCAAGGATCCTTGGTCACACAAATAAGTCCAACTCTTGAATTCAGCATTCGAATCAGTTTCCTGAGTGAAAAATGAGAGTTTGGATGGGGGAAGGGTTTGTGTGACTTAGCCCATGAAAGCTTGGAAAGCAAAGGGTGCCTGAATGTACTGTTATCTTGCTAGGAGGTTGGTACCTGTTTTTAGATTTGGAAACTGAAATATGCCCCATCTGCCATGATGTCTGTGCGCACAGTTCTGTGGGATATACATGGGCCATGGTGTGTCTTATTCTGACAAAGGGCATTACATGAGTTTCCCACACTTGAAAGAAAGCTGGTTAAGTCAAGGGTGCATTTTGTTTTCCTCCCTAAGGCCCCATATGGACCAGTGATGTCCTGATGGATGCAAAGCTGTGGTCCACTGCCAAGGGCTGGACCTTAAGGCTTGCTTCAGCCTCTCTTCTAGGTGGCCACCTTTCTTGCTAAGGAGCCCTCCAGGAGCTGTTGGGGCTGATGTGAGGAAGTGACACCTTCCTATTGGGTTTCTAGGAACTGCTGCAATGCTGACTTTTGCATCTTCTATTATTTTTTCAGGGTGCTCCTGGTCTAGCAGGACCTGAAGGGAGCATCGGAAGATCTGGAATTTTGGGGAGAAAGGTAAATGCTATTTCTCATTGATTTCAAAAAGGAGGAACAAAGGCAGCTGCATTTTCTTTCTGAGTGTCCTATGGATTCCTCACGTGACTGAATCCAAGCACCATTCTTAAACCACCTGCATTCTGCTAACATGTTCTCTTCCATCCACTTAGCAAAGAATTCTCACAGATGACCTCTCTAGAAAGCTGTCCCTTTTACTAGGAGAGGCAGTGATCCGCCCATCATGAAACACTTTAAGAAATCTCTTAAGCTCCTGTATTTCCTGAACAGGAATGAACTCCATGGCTGAGCTAGATGGGGGTGGGTGTCAGAACTCAAATACCCTGTATGCAGCGTCCAGTCTTATGTAGTCAACCATGGATGAGGTGGCTGTGGTAGAGATTACCAGAGAGCAAACCATTGGCCTCTTCAAAACCCGATTCATCTATTTTTATCCTTCAGGGTTTGGGGTCTGTTTGGTCACACAGCAGCCCTGCTGAGTTTAATGATCTTTTCTGATCTCAAATCCCTCTAATTTTTGAGCTAAGGATCTAAGTTTTCCTTTTATATGAGTCCAGCAAACTGTGTTGCTAGTTTTCCATTGTTGTGGCCCTTGGGAAAATCTTCAGCCTTTAAAAATAGTAAGATAGATGCTCATAGTGCCCTGGAACTAGTTGACCTAGGAGGGCAAGGAACAAAAACTGTCCTTTATGTCCCTCTGACCAAATTAGTGTAGGCCTCAAAGTATGTCTGTTAAACATCCAAGGTTAGTTCCACCAGTCTGGTACTTTTAGTTACTGTGTGCCACGTAGATAAATCTTGGACAAAGACCAATTGTTCTCAGATAAACCTTACCCAGACATATGTTTCTTGACCTGGTATGCCGGACCATCCCAGACCGGAGCACTCAGTCTGACGGAAACAAGGGATCAGAGAGTGGTCAAGGATTCGGTGAGTGACAAACAGACACAACACAAGAGATGGTTGATGATCTGAATGTAATTTGCTAAATTAGAGCATCAGATTTTATACAAGTTACAGAACAAGATTGTACAAACAACGTTGATTTCATGGTTAATCATTTTCTTAGAAATACAATTCAAAATCAAAGCAATACAGTACAGTGTAGAGTGTTCTTATCTAATTAATCAGGTGCTTAGACTATTTGTCCTTTTCCCTTAGTGGTTTGGCAACATCAGCTACTTATAAATTTCATGGTTGGTAATTTTATGGTTCCGTTTCCTCAATTTTGAGGTTTTG